TGAGAATGTATCAAGTCCACTGTCAGATGCTGGGAATCGAGACAACTACTATGGCAGACGACTTCGGACTTGGTGTGTTCTACATAGCTTGCCTGGACACAAGACCAAGTTGCGACAACGAGGTCAACCCACTTCTATAAATCGAAAGGAGACTGCGACCATACCAGAGACAACAACATCTTGGTCTTCATATCTTTAATCGTACGCTAGTTTTTTATGTAACGAAACAGCTACCATGGAACACACTTCCAGTTCGGCAAGTCAATTTCCCTCATTTGCAAGCATGTAGAGTAAGATTGAAGTTGCCAACTCAATCATGGGAGGCCTCATTACGATCTCGATGTTAGGTGTATAAAAAAGCGACTAGGTTTGCAGCCGGACATCTTTTCTCTTGGTTTAGTATAGTTTTGGTCTGATGATGTCTGTCACAGTACAGACAAGAGCTTAGCCCAGTTTTATCAGGGTCGCAAGACGGTAAGCTGAGGACTTCTTCGCACAATTCAACAGTCTCCCCTATGCGGCAATCCTACTTCGGTTTCCAGTGAGACCACATCGAGAATTCCTTCCAACGAACTTTCCCTTTGAAATTGAGTCATGCCACATTAACATTATCATGACTACTATGAAAAAGTACCCTGGGATAGGCACGCTCATCAAATCGCCTTGAATATAAAGTCGTTGGAAAAACGAGACCAAAATGCCCCTATACAGCGAAAGGGGGATGCGATCAAAGTAGAGGTAACATCATCCAGGTCTTCAAATTAATATGGAGCGCATCTAGAAGGATCATTGCCCTAGGAATCTTGGACTGCATCAGCAAAGCGATTGGCTGCAATATTAACGTTAACTTAAAATAACTCCAAATGCTGATACTGTTTCGGAAAAAATTCATCATTAAAAGCCAAGAGACTTAACAACAGAAATAAATTTACCAAAGCCGCTAACAAATAATTTAAATCGAAGTTCGAAATGTAATTTAGAAAACTTAAATAAGCCTTAAGATGTCGGCAATACATTTTAATTACCAAGCAATAAAGCGTCATATTGAATAGGGAAAATATACTATTCTAATTGCCGGATAAGTAGGAAGTTTAAAGGGAAAATTCAAGGTGGAGTTGGCTACCTACTCTTTACAGGTGACTTGACCAAATTTTCTAAGCTCCCAATAGGCCAGCTGGCTTGTGGTCCGGTAGCTAAATATTTACAGTCTGTCTGTCCTGCAAGGTTAGCAAAAAGGTTAGAGCTACACTGCCTACGAAGACGTAGACCTGGTCGAGAAGGCCAAAAGCTTCCTGCACTAGCCTCATCATCTGGCTTGGACGATTGGGAAGGGGCATCAGCAGGCAAAGAGCAGGTATTACTTGTGGTGAACTGGCTGAGACTAGCTTCTTCGTCTAACTGTCGCTGGCGCCAGCGCTCCGCCCGCGACATGGCTATTGACATGCATGTCGAGCCTTGCAACTGCTGATGATCGGTAACTGATGAAAGAGAGTTCAAACCACGTGATTTAATCGGAGTCGTTGCAGTGGCATAGAGTCTGCGAGATGGTTCAAGGGAAGTAGCCAGGTTGGAAAAAGATGAGGACGAAGAAGAAGCGACAGCGGCAGAAGACACTGCGAGCGATATTCCTGAATGGCAGCGTGGAAGAGATGTGGGTTGAGTCGAGTTAGCTCGCCAGAGTCTGCGCAAAGGACTTCCAAGGGGAGTGGGGTAAGAAGCTGCGGTAAGCTGCGACTTGGAAGAATGGAGTGACTGCGGAAGCAGGTCAAACTCCGGCTTCAGAGGAGACTCAGATACAATGATTTCCTTTGATAGTGTGAGTTCATTTATGGACGTTTGCATGTGAAATTTTGCAGAAACATGGAAAGATAAATGTGTAAATGTGTAAAGCTAGAGTGAATATTCCATACATTAAAAATACTTCTTTGATATAATTATGCATACGTTTTTACAAAGGTATATATTAATCTCTCCACAAATTTACTAAGCATGTAAGCATATTATGTACATGAAATGCATTACGATCGCAAACTACGTTTAGCCTTAGATCCAATGAGCCTTACTCGATCTTTTGTCTTTTTGGCTGCCGCCAACTGGGCACGTTCCCATCTGGGATGCGAGCGCTGAGGGTTCGGAGTCTCGAGCACCGAGCGCCGGCGTCGCTTTTGTGCAGCCGCTAAGGGGGCCATAGAACTCGACCGCACAGACTTTTCTCCACTAGTCTTGCTCCTGCGACGCTGGATAAAGGCACCTTGACCGCCGTCTATGGAAGCATTCAAATAGCCGCTAAGGCTAGTGGTATTTCTAGAGTCACGTCGGCGCTGTCTTGACTTAGAGATTGCATGTGGTGAAATTGTAAGCCGACTAGAGATTACTGCTGAAGAGTGTGCTTTAGGGGAACGATTTGAACTTGGACTGAGTCGTAGCTGGTATGCAGAGAAGAGGAAATAGAATAAAAAACAAAGGCGGGTAAAATGTGCAGAGATACATTAACTCAAGTATTTGGAAGGAATAAACCCATTGTAACGAATATAAAGGATGGTTAACAGAGCATGAGACCCTAAGTATATTTTACCAAACAAAGAAAATAAATCAGGTTTCCAAATGGCCAATAGCAAAAATAAAGAAATATAGCTTCTCAAATTGTACTGATAAAGATAGAGGTTTCTACATGATAAACTAAATAACATTGTCATAAAGCTTGACGAGTGAAAATTAAACAACCGGATGGGTAACTAGTGGAAAGTTCAATAAAGGACATAAATAAAGTAATTGACATAAATG